GTTTTCAATGGTGAACATCACTATGTTGATCATATCTACTATATGATTCACGCTAGACCTTTCGGTCTCCGTGTTTCGAGGCCATATCTGTATATGCTAGGCTCGTCAAGTTTAACCTGAGTATTCCACGTGTGCAACTGTTTTGCACCTGTTGTATTTGAACGTAGAGCCTATCACACCCGATCATCACGTGGTGTCTCAGCACGAAGAACTTTCGCAACGGTGCATACTCAGGGAGAACACTTCTTGATAATTAGTGAGAGATCATCTTAAAATGCTACCGTCAAACAAAACAGAATAAGATGCATAACAGATAAACATCATATGCAATCAAAATATGTGACATGATATGGCCATGATCATCTTGCGCCTTTGATCTCCATCTCCAAAGTACTGTCATGATCTCTATCGTCACCGGCACGACACCATGACCTTCATCATCTTGATCTATATCAATGTGTCATCACATGGTCGTCTCGCCAACTATTGCTCTTGCAACTATTGCTATTGCATAGCGATAATGTAAAGCAAATATTTGGCACTTGCATCTTTATGCAACAAAGAGACAACCATAGGGCTTCTGCCAGTTTCCGATAACTTCAACAAAACATGATCATCTCATACAACAACTTATATCTCATCACGTCTTGACCATATCACATCACAACATGCCCTGCAAAAACAAGTTAGACGTCCTCTACTTTGTTGTTGCAAATTTTACGTGGCTGCTATGGGCTGAGCAAGAACCGTTCTTACCTACGCATCAAAACCACAACGATAGTTCGTCAAGTTGGTGATGTTGTAACCTTCACAAGGACCGGGCGTAGCCACACTCGATTCAGCTAAAGTGAGAGAGACAGACACCCGCCAGCCACCTTTAAGCATGAGTGCTCGTAACGGTGAAACCAGTCTCGCGTAAGCGTACGCGTAATATCGGTCCGAGCCGCTTCATCTCACAATACCGCCGAACCAAAGTATGACATGCTGGTAAGTAGTATGACTTGTATCGCCCACAACTCACTTGTGTTCTACTCGTGCATATAACATCAACGCATAAAACCTAGGCTCGGATGCCACTGTTGAGGAACGTAGTAATTTCAAAAAAAATTCTATGCACACGCAAGATCATGGTGATGTCATAGCAACGAGAGGGGAGAGTGTGTCCACGTACCCTCGTAGACCGAAAAGCGGAAGCGTTAAAACAACGCGGTTGATGTAGTCGTACGTCTTCACGGCCCGACCGATCAAGCACCGAAACTACGGCACCTCCGAGTTCTAGCACACGTTCAGCTCGATGACGTCCCTCGAACTCCGATCCAGCCGAGTGTCGAGGGAGAGTTCCGTCAGCACGACGGCGTGGTGACGATCTTGATGTACTACCTACGCAGGGCTTCGCCTAAGCACCGCTACGATATTATCGAGGTGGATTATGGTGGAGGGGGGCACCGCACACGGCTAAGAGATCCAAGGGATCAATTGTTGTTGTGCCTAGAGGTGCCCCTGCCCCCGTATATAAAGGAGCAAGGGGGGAGGAGGCGGCCGGCCTAGTAGGGGCGCGCCAAGGGGAGTCCTACTCCCACCGGGAGTAGGACTTCCTCCTTCCTTGTTGGAGTAGGAGAAGGGGGAAAGAGGGGGAGAGGAGGAAGGAAAAGGGGGCCGCACCCCTTGTCCAATCGGACCAGAGGGGGGCTGCGCGCCTCCTTCCTTTCGGCCTCTCTCCTCTATTCCCGTATGGCCCAATAAGGCCCAATACTTCCCCGGGGGGTTCCGGTAACCCCTCCAGCACTCCGGTTTTCTCCGAAATCACCCGAAACACTTCCGGTGTCCGAATATAGTCGTCCAATATATCAATCTTTATGTCTCGACCATTTCGAGACTCCTCGTCATGTCCGTGATCACATCCGGGACTCCGAACAAACTTCGGTACATCAAAACTTATAAACTCATAATAAAACTGTCATCGTAACGTTAAGCGTGCGGACCCTACGGGTTCGAGAACTATGTAGACATGACCTAGAACTATTCTCGGTCAATAACCAATAGCAGAACCTGGATGCCCATATTGGTTCCTACATATACTACGAAGATCTTTATCGGTCAAACCGCATAACAACATACGTTGTTCCCTTTGTCATCGGTATGTTACTTGCCCGAGATTTGATCGTCGGTATCCAATACCTAGTTCAATCTCGTTACCGGCAAGTCTCTTTACTCGTTACGTAATGCATCATCCCGTAACCAACTCATTGGTTACATTGCTTGCAAGGCTTATAGTGATGTGCATTACCGAGAGGGCCCAGAGATACCTCTCCGACAATCGGAGTGACAAAACCTAATCTCGAAATATGCCAACTCAACATGTACCTTAGGAGACACCTGTAGTACTCCTTTATAATCACCCAGTTACGTTGTGACGTTTGGTAGTACCCAAAGTGTTCCTCCGGTAAACGGGAGTTGCATAATTCTCATAGTTACAGGAACATGTATAAGTCATGAAGAAAGCAATAGCAGTATACTAAACGATCAAGTGCTAGGCTAACGGAATGGGTCATGTCAATCACATCATTCTTCTAATGATGTGATCCCACTAATCAAATTACAACACATGTCTATGGTTAGGAAACATAACCATCTTTGATTAATGAGCTAGTCAAGTAGAGGCATACTAGTGACTATATGTTTGTCTATGTATTCACACATGTATCATGTTTCCGGTTAATACAATTCTAGCATGAATAATAAACATTTATCATGATATGAGGAAATAAATAATAACTTTATTATTGCCTCTAGGGCATATTTCCTTCAGTGTTGCCTATGTAATGATCATTGCCTGGATATTGTCATAATTATTTGAAGTTCTATCAATTGCCCAACAGTAATTTGTTCACCCACCGTTTGTTATTTTTCTTGGGAGAAGCCACTGGTGAAACGTACAGCCCCCGGGTCTTCATTCTCACATATTTGCCTTGCGATCTACTTTTTCCTTGCGTTTATTTTTAGATCTATTAAACTAAAAAATACAAAAATACCTTGCTGCAATTTATTTGATCCGCGATCTATTTATCCCATCTAAAAATTTACCTCACATCCTTTGCCTATCTTGAGGCGTCGTACCCCGAAAGGGATTGACAACCCTTTTAACACATCGGGTTGCGAGGTATTGTTATTTGTGTGCAGGGGTTGTTTACGTTGTGTTGCTTGGTTCTCCTACTTGTTCGATAACCTTGATTTCATATCTGAGGGAAATACCTACCACCGCTGTGCTGCATCATCCCTTCCTCTTTGGGGAAAAAACCGACGTAGCTTCAAGCGACATCATGGGCTTCTTCTTTTTTGGGTCTCTCTCAACAAAGATATCACCTAGATTTTCAAAGTCTAACACTGGAGCAGAACCCACCACCTCCTCCCTTTGTTCAAGAACTTCACCCTTCTCTGTAATAGCCAGTGGTGCAGGAACCACCTTGCGATAAACTTGAGTGGTCTGTGGCCCTCCCTTGCGCTTATTCATAGCTGCATTCTTGACTGGGGAGCTTCAACACTATTCTTCTGCTTTGAACTCGAGGAGCAAGACTCCCTCGTGCCGTTCTTCTTTTCCTGCTGCTCCTTGTTCGAGTTATCACCATAATAAGTTTGCTTCCGTTTCTCAGGTGCCCTAAGTCTCGTTTTGAATGGAAGATCACCATTTGCATCCATAGTCTCTGACGTAGGATAGAACAAACCTGCATGCCCCAACCGACCGCAAGAGAAACAGAAGTGGGGTATCTGTTCGTACTCTATATCGTAGCAAGAGCCATCTGCGCAAAGGTTTAAGCACATCAATAGTCACTTTTTCTCATCTTGCTCCGAGAAAACCTCCCACGGGATCAATTTGAACGGTAGTAGCCTGCTTATCAATTTGCCGGGCTATTGCCAAACCTCTTGTATCATTCCTTAGGTTATAGGGTAGATTCAGTACCCTTACCCAAACCTGCAACTTAACGAACTTCAGTTCAGATGGTTGCATGTGCGTTTCAAAATCCTCTAAAATCACCGCATGTTTGCTGATATGCCATGGGCCTCCTTCCCACACCCGATCACGGTCGCGTCTGGTCTCAAACTCCGCAGCAAACACATTCTCCCCCAATGGGCGAAAGGACAGTCCCCTAGGGTTTCCCCATGTTGGGTGAAGGGCATTGCAGATAGTTTGGATATGGAGAAGATTGCGATGCAAGACCTTCCCTGCTATGAGCCACTTCGTCGGTTCGCCATCTTCAACATCGTCGATCACCAGAGGCGTTGCCTCCTCCTCGGATATATCCAACTTTCCAAGCGCCTCCTCCATCTGTGCTTGAGCGGAGCGAGGTGAAAGAGCGCCGCCGCGCTTCCATCCTTTGCTGGCAGATGATGTAGACATCCTCTTCGTGAGTCGCCGGTGCGCCCCGCCGATGAGATCTGCGGGCGCGCTCAACTCCACCTAACCCTAATCGCCGCCAGAGCGTTTTCTTTTGAACGGTCACCGGGGGGAGAGCTTCCCCACCTGAATATATTACCACCCAAATGAGATGTCGAGAATTACATCAGCAGTACGGTTACAAATTCAGCTAGAAGGGGTTGCAGAGGAGAAAAAGTGTAGCCACTGTCTAGCAAAGATATTGTCTTCGGCCTTTTTGAAACCGAAAACCCAGAAAGAGAAATTTGCTACAATATTTCTTAGCGTAGTTTTGAGAGAGTGGTCTTCGTTTCTGAACACAAGAGCCTTTCTCGAGTCCCATAGTTTCGAGGAAACTGTCAAGGCCATCGATGGCCAGATGTTGGGGTTCCGGGGAAAAACATATACGTGCGTGAAATTTGATTCGACGGCCATTCTTTCCGCAAACTTGCGTCGGTCACGTATGCCACGGAATACGCCTCCCCTACGTATCATCGTGTAGTTTGGCTAGCTCACGGCTGACGCGTCGCGAGAACTAACCCCATCCTAAATCTTCCCCAACCCCAATCCAGGCGACAAGGATCTCGCCATGGCGCCGCCGCCCACCGCCGCCGCGGCCGTCCGTTGCCACCCGCACATCCTCCGCAGGGGCCTCCTGCCCGCTTCGTCGCCGCTGCTCCCCTTCGCCTCCCGGCTGGCCTCCTCCACGCCGCTCCGCGCCCAGCCGCTGCGCTTCTCGCTCTCCCCCGTCCCCAAGAGCATCTCCTCCTCCTCGACCTCCCACATCCCCGTGCGCTCCCTCTTCACCGGGATCGTCGAGGAGGTCGGCCGCGTGCGCCGCATCGGCCCGCCGCCCACGCCTCCTGGGGGCGGGGGAGACGCGGCTCCCGGTGTCGACCTCGAGGTCGAGACCAAGAACCTCCTCGCCGGGACGCAGCTGGGCGACAGCATCGCCGTCGACGGGACGTGCCTCACCGTGGCGGCCATCGACGCCGCTGCCTCCACCCTCACCTTCGGCGTCGCGCCGGAGACCCTCCGGTGCACGTCACTCGGCGAGCGCGTCGCGAGCGACGACGTCAACCTCGAGCGCGCGCTCACGCCGGCGTCTCGCATGGGCGGGCACTTCGTCCAGGGCCACGTCGACGGCACCGGCGAGATCGCCGCGTTCCGGCCCGAGGGCGACTCTATCTGGGTCACCGTGCGTGCGCCGCCAGAGATCCTCAGCTTGCTCGTGCCCAAGGGCTTCGTCGCCGTGGACGGGACCAGCCTCACCGTCGTCAATGTGAACGAGGAGGCCGGGTGGTTCGACTTCATGCTTGTGCGCTACACGCAGGACAATGTTGTGCTGCCCAGGAAGAAGGTTGGGGATAAGGTGAACCTTGAGGCTGACATACTGGGAAAGTATGTAGTGAAGCTACTTGCCGGGAGATTGGAGGCAACGTCAAAGGCAAATTCTTGAGCTGTGCCTGTTGGACTGATGAACTACTATCAGTATTAGTGCAGTGTATTCTTGTCCATCAATAATAGTGCATTTTTTGCACTAATGAGTGAAGCTTTTTTCGTACTAGGGGGGGTTTTATAGTTCATGCCACTGCCTGTTTCCATGTAAAGTTATAATGTTTCCGCATGGAGAAGCTTTTTTCCGGTGTGCATGATCTGTGTAACCCCATTCAAATGAACAAGATTTGTTTAGTTGTTCATACTAGGAGTCCAGCTTTTCTGGGACAACAATGGATACTAGTGCTTGTTTGAGTTTATATTTGATCATTGCCTGACCTATATTTCTGGGGCCTGATTTAATATGGCATGCACTGTCGGTTGCTATTTTGAATTTGTGATGAAGCACGGAAGATGTGTGTTGCCTAAGAAGACTGCATTCTACCTTTGTGTAATTTATCGCATGAATTTGTTCTGCCAGATGATAATTAAAAATTATTCACAAAATAACTACCAATATAAAATAGTGTATTATTTCTATATGGCTTAAAGTCTATCTTTTTGTAATGCAAATACTAAACTGGATTATGGTGTTGGCTTACATCCGTAGTGTTGGTCTTTGTATACTTAACATGAAATGTTGGTAATTCAATAACACTTGTTCTCTGAAATTTTAGAATGGAACTATTGGATGTTTGGATTAAGTTGTCTCACTAAAGTTTTACATGGAAATGGGGGCCCTTACTAGTATGGGATGAATGGAACTACGAAATTCAATTCAGTAACTCTGACCTTTGGCTTTCGTGTGTGGTGAACCAGAAGAAACATTAGCAATTTCCTTGAATGTGTGTGTTTGGTCCTACTCCCTCCGTTCCAAAATAGATGACGCAACTTTATACTAACTTTAGTATAAAGTTGAGTCATCTATTTTGGAACGGAGGGAGTAGAAGGTAGATATTGTAAGGTTATTTCAGATGACACTTGGTAATTTAGATTGTGATTAGTTGTACTATGACTATTAAGTACATCATCACCCGAGGAAACTATGTTGGTTTCTCCTTCCTCCATGACCATCACCTGAGGAAAACCAGTGGTATTAGCTGACAAAATGTGCACATGGCAATGCTACAGCGTAGTTAGTATATGTCGAGTATTCACGTGTATTGGCTACTCATAATGCGCAAGACATGAGAAGCAATGCAAAAATCATGTGTAGGAGTAACATCTCCCTGTGTTTTGTAGAATGACAACTACTTCAAGTAAAGCAGCACAACCTCCCTGACTCTCTGTAAGAGCAAAATGATGCATTTCTGTATCTTCGCTCTGGCTTTTTTCGATTTGACCGAATCATTGAACTGCTTGTGTTGTGCAGGGAGGAGCCCAAGGCGGGGGACTGTATGATCCCGGTGCCGTCTGGGTCTAGAGCCCTGCAAAGAGAGATAAAAAGGGACTTCCCTGAGACGGCATTTGAGCAGCGACAACGGTGCCCCTGATTCAACGCAGACCGTTGAGGAACCTAAACAGCTGAAGAACCCTGTGCAGAGCTTGTGTGGCTTGTTTATTTGCTTGTTCACGAGAGCCTTGCTCCAGATTTTTCTGCTGAACGGGTGCTAAGCATGCTTGGGACTCAAAAGGGGTTTCCCTGATGATGATGATGATGTGTTCCTAGACTGGTACGTACATTGATAAGCACTTTGGCATGTACATGATCTACTCTTGCTCGGACAAGATATGAATTTCTAGCGCAGGTCCATTTTGTTTCCTTGTAGTGATATAGTTTAAGTACAAGAGATGACAAACAAGGTTGCTAATAAACAAAGCGCATCTGGTGTAGTGGTATCATAGTACCCTCCCACGGTACTGACCAGGGTCCGATTCCCTGGATGCGCAATTCCTGTTTTTGCTCCTCTCCTGAGGAGACCTTTTTTTTTTCAGCAACACCTTTGTGTATGTTTTCTGGCCAATTAAGCAATTCCTCTCGCCGGTATGTTTTCCACGTTATCCTCCATCTCCATATATGTCCTCTGTAACTGTGTTCATGTGCTACATAATTAGAGATTCGACTGTATCTTCGTGTCCTCCGTAGCTGTGTTCATGTGCTACATAATTAGAGATTGGACATTCGAATTGGAGCTGTTGCATGTACTTCCTCCGTCCTAAAATAAGTGATTTAAGTTGAGTATAAGGTTGAGTCACTTATTTTGAATAGAGGGGGTATGTTTGATAAGTAATGGTGGCTGTCGTACATCTGTATCGAGTCATTGTTTTTTTGTGCGCGTCTAGTATACTACTAGGTTGTAAGACTAATAAGCTTGCATTCTTTTCTGGGGATATTCTTCTGTAATACTTTTTTCTTGGGGAGAAACTTGGAGAGCTTTATTCAACTATTGCATATAATTTTCAAAATATTGATACAAATGCAGTGCATATACCATGCCACAGAAGTTCAATTTAGCCTTTTTTAGAACAAGTTCAGTTTAGCCTATTGTGTATTATTTTCACAATCTGAAGCTGTGAGTATTTCATCGCATCTATATACAGGCCTAATTAGTAGTACTAGTACTAGTTTTCTTGACGTGTTCCCATCCGCACCGTCCATCGCGAAATAAAGGGCACATAATATCTCCCACGCGATCCAAGCACACGGGTTAACTCACAGCTTCAGATCCGACCCGACGAGCACGACGCCTGCCGGAGTCCATGGCGGCGCCGGCGAGCCGCCGCCGCGGGTCCTCCTGGGGCCGCTCGTGGCCGCTGCTCTTCGTCGCCATCCTCGCCCTCCACTCGCTGGCCATCTACCTATTCACGCGCGGCTTCCTCCTCACCCGCACCGAGCTCGACCTCCACAGCCACCGGGACGACCGCACCGGCGTCTCCCCCGGGTGCTCCTCCTGGCCCCAGCCAGCCTTAGACCGCCTCGTAATCGTCGTCCTCGACGCCCTCAGGTAGCACCGCCTTGCCTATTCTGTCCTCGCTTCAGTTCCCATGTCTGATCCTGAGCAATTTCTGCTATTTCACAGGTTCGATTTCGTGGCACCGAGTACATTCTTTGAAGGTGGGTTTGCATTTGTGTACTTCTGCGCAATGATAAAACTACTGTAGGACATTGCGAGCTGGTAATGAGTTAAACCTGACATTTTGCTGCAGAGAAGCAGCCATGGATGGACAAGTTGCAGGTCCTGCAGAAGCTGGCTGCTGACGAGAAGAACTCTGCTAGGATCTTCAAAGCTCTGGCTGACCCACCGACCACCAGCCTTCAACGTCTTAAGGTGATGAGTACTGTTGTGTGTATAAATGTATATTGATCTCATGGCATACATTCAGCACTGATGTTATGCCGAAAAACTGTTATTTCGAGCACACCTCAATGCAATATAAAAGGGTCATAACTTAGTGTGTATTCTTGCTGCAACTATGTTCAGGCTCTCACAACGGGTGGTCTCCCTACCTTTATTGATGTCGGCAATAGCTTTGGAGCTCCAGCAATAGTGGAAGACAATATAATGCATCAGGTTCTTTGCACTTCACATTCAACTTTAGTAAAATATGTAGCTCACGATGGATAGTTAATCATGCTTTTGTTTCTTTGCGCTCAATCAGCTGATCAAAAATGGAAAGAGGGTAGTCATGATGGGAGATGATACATGGACACAGTTATACCCAGAGCACTTCAACAAGTCATTTCCATACCCTTCTTTTAATGTTAAAGATCTCGACACGGTATGCCATCTGTTCAGTACCATTTTGTCCTTTCTGCGCGATGAGCTATTTTGCGCTTTCCATTTAATTTCCATGGAATTACCCGTCACATTATGTATCAGGTAGACAATGGTGTTATTGACCACTTGCTTCCTTCACTGCACGAAAATGATTGGGACGTTCTTATTGCACATTTCCTTGGTGTGGTAAGTTGTTTGTGTTCACTTTGGAGCTGGCTTACACATTTGATCCTTTCCTTTGTGGAACTAGAAGCATATGAGGTCAACTTTCTTTAGGACCATGCAGGGCATATATTCGGTGTTGACTCTACCCCGATGATCCAGAAGTTGGAGCAATACAATCAAATCCTAGAGGTCAGGTGCCCCATTCATAGTACATGATCTGTTTTTTTGTGTGCTAATTGTTTGCAGGAGACATTATCTTATCCTGAATTCTGATTGTTAAATTAGCCTCAATTTTGCTCCTGTAGGATGTAATTGACACATTGAAAAGCCTATCAACACCTGGTGGTCCCCATGAAAATACTTTACTCCTTGTAATGGGAGATCATGGCCAAACCCTAAATGGTGACCATGGAGGAGGAACTGCTGAAGAGGTGACATGTCTTGTTTTTTCGTTGCTAAGTGCAAAACTATCTGAACTAATGCAGTTTCATTGTAGGTTGAAACATCTCTGTTTGCATGGAGTCCAAAGACACCACCCGATGCTGTCTTATCTGTTCTTGGTGAAAATTCATGCAATTTTGATCTGGTACATTTTATTTGTAATGATAAATTGACCGATCTTGTCATTCATGCTAACATCTTGATTTTCTTGTTTGCATGTAATCATTCTCTTACTAATTTTTATCAGGACTAAGACCCAAATAATCATAGCACATACTCGTTGGCCATTTTTTTTCTTTTGATAAGGGGATAAACCCCAGCCTCTGCACCATTCAGATGCACACAGCCATCACTCCTTGGCCATATTATCACCTGAATTATAATTTATATAGGATATGAAAGTCACACTTATAGGGATACTTCTACTGACGTATTTAGTTCTTTACTGTTCCGTTATGGGTTTGACATCTGATATTCTGTGAGAAATTAGGTATGTAGACAGTCCTTAACTAACTGGGTTATGCATGGGTATGAAGTAGTATCACAAAGCGTGCTCATAGCCTTTAGCATGGTGGGGTAGTTAGCATTTCTGTATAGAATTACCTTTCTCGTAGGCTTGGACAGTTGATGGAACATAAGTTTGATATAGAAGCAGTGTAGAGATATTTAGTTCCTCGCCTTATTTTTTTTAGTTATT